GCTATAAACAGGTTAGACCGGTCAAGTCCAGAGTGGGGAAGTGGCTTTTCTACTGGGCCTTGGCTCTTCCATGTAAGAAACAGGGCAGGAACATTCTGCCCCTCCATCTTGCCCACTTCCCACACTCACCAAGGAGTCTTGGGCCTCCACGAAGATCTCCTGACTGGTGTACAGACAGGACAGGATGTCATTGTAGATTTCGAGCCAAAAGGCAAAGTCTGCCATGCTGTCCTGGGCTAATGGTGGAAGGGGTGGGGGAACCACATGCTCCAGCCTCGAGGCCCGCTGGTGTGGGCCACAGGGAGTCACAAGCTTCAGAGCAATGGTGGAAGGAAGATGGGTCAGTGGGGACAGGTCTCCTGGTGGACACCTGGTTCAGCTCACCTTGCTGACACAGCAGGCACAGTTCCATTTGAATTTACTAACAGCATCACCAGAAAGGAGCCATTATGGTCACTGTCTGACCACGAGGAAGCTGAGACCCAGAGAGGTGATGCTACTCACTCAAATCTCACAGGAGAAGAGGTAGAGCCTGGCTTCCTGGCCCCCATCAAGCTCCACTCATTCTCTGAACCCTGTCCCTCCTGAGCCCTCTTGTTCCTCCTACCTTCCATACAGAGAGACATCAAGGAGCAGTGGACAGGAGCTGGGCCATCCTCAGCCATTCTCTGTCCTCAGTTTCCCCATCTGACTCAGCTGCTTTCTTCTGGGTCTGACTCACTCGCTGGTCAGCAGCCTGTGGCCTCTCCATCCTCTTTCCTCTTTTGTTGACCATTCCCTTTTCCGATTCCTCGTTTTCCTGTCTTCCTCTTCCCCCCTCGCTCCCCACCCAGTGAGGCCCCATCTCCCTTTCTCTTTGCCTGTCCACTCTCAGCAGGTTCCCCAAGGGCCTGTGGCAGTCTAGGGTTGCCTACCTGCACTCCCATCAAGATGGCTCCCTCTGTGAACTCCGTGCTGGTCACATAGTACTGGAAATCATCGGGACCCGAAATGATTGGAGCTATGGAGCAGAAATGAAACCTAACTCAGCCAGGGGTAGAGGTGGGAAGGATGCTGTGGCAGGCAGGGAGAAATTCTTCTCTGCTCAGCCTTATGTCCCTTGATGGCTAAGGCACATGGCCTCCTAGAACAAGGGACACTTATTGCATGCTGGCTTTGGGTCAGGTTGTTAATATTATTCTAACAGGCCTTATCTATGGGCCTTCCATTGATCCTGTTTAACAGGTAGGGAAACTGAGGCTCAGAGGGGAAGTGACATATGAAGGTTACAAGTCATGTAGTCCCCTCCTTTTCCCTATTAGAAAGAATCCTCCCTGCAGGTAGGATTGTCCTGTCTCTGGATATATTCCTACACACGGTGCCTGGCACATGGCAAGGGACAGTTGGCCAGCAGCAACATACGAAGAATGATGTGTAGCAGGTCTTCCAGCAGGAAGTTGAGGAGGTTTGTGGTCACAGGGCACACCTAGGGGGAAGGGAAAGAGGTGTCCCATTGGCATGGAGCCGAGGTAGTGGGCTCTCTTCGGGGCTACCCCCCCATGACTCACTATCTTCTGGAGGAGGAACGGCAGTGACCCATCCAGGATCTCAGTCACCAGTTTCAGCAGCTGGTTTGGCAACAGGGTGTCTGCTCTAGGAGAGGGGTGACAGGGTAGGGTCAGCCATGCAGTGCACCAAAGGTGTGGGCAGGGAAGGGGCAGCTGAGCACCCTGAGGCAGGACAGCAGGATCTTTCCTTTCCCTGGCATTCCCACCTCCTCTCCATTTTCTTCTTCCTGCTTCCCCATTTCAGTTTTCTGCATTATGTTCTGATTTGTACTCTCTCCTTCATAAAAGTCTTTGGGAATTTCACACAGGAAGTGAACCCACTGGCAATGGAAAGATCACGTCCTGCTTCCTTCAGGTTCTGGGTCATGTAAATAGATGAATGATCGATCCCTTGGGAGTCAGTTTCTGTGCTGTGTAAGTAGGTTCTTACATCTCCTGCCTAGGACCATTCCGTGTGGGTTGGGTACTGTAAGCAATGCAACCGAGGCTCCCAGAAGGCAGGATCTGGCTGGGACCTACTGTTAGGATTAGCTAGGCAGAAGGTGAGTCCTAACCATGACCTTCAGGGTGGAGGCAGGTGAGATTGACAGGTGGCAGGCACAGTTTGTGACTTTTAAGGAGAGGCAGCCCAAGCCCTGGGTTTCAGAGACGGATCACTGCGGAAAGGGCTGGGCCAGTGCAGGAAGAGCAGCCATCTGCCACCCCCAGGGTAGGCTCAGAAGCACCAGGTACTCACTGCTTCACGATCTCAATGTTGAGGCTTCCAGGTGGTGTCTGGCACTCCTCGAAGGCCACCTGGGTCTTGTTCCCTATCTGTTCTAGCCGTACTCCAATGCGTATGTTCTTGATGACTTCCAACCTCAGGATCCTGCAGGGACAGTGTGTCTGGGCAGGCTCCCAGCCAGCTCCAAGGTTGAGACCAGAAGTCATGAGCTGGCTGATATTGCTACCTGCAGGCTTGCGTTAGGAACTAAGAGAGTGCTTTAAAATGTAGAATCTTCTGGCAGACCGGGCAGCATTGAGCCAGCGTCCTCACAGGGCAAGAGACGCCTACTCTGAGTGTGACCTTGAGATGGGACACAGGTTCACCCAGTTGCTGAGGTCCATGGGTCATGAATCTTACTATTGCCACACTATCCTAACCAAGGCAATACTATGTTCCTCAGGGAGCAGAGGCACATTTCTCGGGGCCCCTCGACTCTGTCGTAGTGTTTCCTTGGGCTTACATCTCTCATGCAAGCACTAACTAAGGGTCCTGGTTAGCTTGCAACTAAGCAGATTCATTCCAGGGGGAGTGGTCATAGAATGTTCCATTATTAAGTGGTAAAGTCACACCAAAAGGGCATATTCACGAGAAAGGCAGGAGCTGGCATATTTCCAAAGAGCATTGTGACTCCCCTCCTTCACAAGTTAGCATGAGTCTGTATCGCTGCCATTGCTGGTGGCCACAAGTACAGCCACTCACGGTTCAGAGCTGTGCAGGTGGGCACTTGGCCTCCTGTAGCAGGGAACTGGAATTATACCTGGGTATAGACTCATGCCCGGGGAGTGGATACTCTTGCTTCAGCTTCCCAGCCCAGGAATCCCAGGGCCCTCCCAGATGGCCCCATTAGTGCCAGTGTGCCCACATGTGCCCTCACTGCAGATTCACTGTATGATCTTGGGCGGGGCTCTTCCCCATTCTATGCCTCATTTTCCCCGTAAGTCAGTCATTGAAGCATGCCCAGGTGGAAAGGACTTGTGATCCTTGTGGTGGCTTTTGTTGGTCTTGCTTCCTGGCAGCATGCAGGAAGGAAATACCGTGGGCACTTACTCCAGGAGCGAGAGGTACAGTTTGCAGCGCAGTGTAATCTGCAGCAGGCTCTCACTTAAAATTTCCAGGGTGACTTCCGGTCCCTTGGCGTCTTCTATGATCAACCTATGGGAGGCATAGGGGTGATGTGTCTGGCTCCACGCATGTCTGGAGTAGCTAGAATGGGAGCTGACATCAGGAAAAGTGGAGGCAGCTTTGGGATAGCCTGTCCTTGCCTGCTGGCCTGCTAGAGACCACAGAACTCAGCTTCTAGTCTCTAAGCATTGAGAATCTTACCCTTCTCTGAGTCAGCCTCTAAAAAACCAGGAATTATGGCATAAGTCTATGCACACACAGCCATCTGAATCCTAGTATAAGCCTCTGGGACCGAGGCTGTGGCTCAGTGGGAGAAGCCTTGCCTAACATACATGTGATCTTGGGGTTGATCCCTCGGTATAGGAAATAAGCCTCCATGAGCTTCTCAAAACAAAAGTAAGCAGGCAAAAGCATGGAGAAGCAGCCCCTCTGCTATCCATGAAGGATCTATGGGCTCTCCTGAGCACTTTTCTCCCTTCTGAGGCCTCAGGTGCCTCCCATCCCTGGGCTCTGAGGGGTCAAGGTTGCATTATCGACACCAGTGTCAGCTGGTGATTCCCCTGAAGCGACCGAGTCAGGCAGCAATGCATTCTATCCCAGGGGAAACCTGGCCACCAGCATGGAGCCTTCTGGAGGTTCTTTTTTCTCTGTTTCAAACAAGGTTTCATACAGCCTGGGCTAGTCTCATATGTAGCTGAGGATGGAACTTCTGATGCTCTTGCCCAGCCTGGAGGATATTTTTAGGATCAGAACATGTGGTGTTTTCCTTCTTCCTTCCCAAGCCATGTCCTGGGCTAGGGATAGGCTTATAGCCATGGCATGACTACCCAGGTGCGGTGGGGGAATCAGTAGACAGTACCAATACTTGGCATTGCTGGGGTGATATTTGCCTATGCTGCCTCCCAAGTCTCCCTGGGTAGTTCCCCTTACACTGTAATTCCATGGCTTCTCAATCCTTTTCACACCCACCGGAAAAACCCGTTTGGAGCTTGGGGTCTTAGGACCTATGGGTCTTTCCTTGCTCATGTTGGGGAGGGACTCCTGCATTCGGGGCCGAGCCTGTGGCTGTGCAGGCCACCTTGAGGAAGACTTGGCCCAGTCAACGTCAGCACCATTCATTTAGGTGGTTTCTTGTTTGGGTAGGAGGCTCCAACCCGGGGCTTTCATGGCTGAACAGATAGCATGGTGGGACATCTGGGAACCTGCTAAGGGACTGGAGACCTGACTCAAATGTTCGGCAGATGTGACCAGATTTTCATTTGAAGGGAAATCAGCATTATGGGTTGCACTGCCTCCATGTTTGTGGGGATTTGGAGAGGTCTGGAAAGGTAGCCACGTAGCAGGAGGAAACCGGCTTCATGCATTTGAGGCTGGGGAGATGCTGTCGACCCCAAGTCTCCCCCACCTCTGCTCCGCTTGCCAGAGAAAAGCCTCCTGAGGGGGAAGAGTGGCAGAGGCTGCCTCGCTGGACACTCACCCAGCTGTCTCCAGTAACTTCTTCAGCTCAGGCATGGTCTTCCCGGAGAGCAGGTCCCCTACGGACGACAAGTCCAGCCCGCTCTTCTTCCTAACCAACTCCTTTCTGGCGAAGGGCAGGGTGTCCAGGACAGACACACACTCACTTGGGGATCCAGTCACAGGCATCCTGATCAGACCCTTGAGGACCTGGTGCTTAGTGAATAGATCTGAAATGTCTGGGGGCAGAGCATCCCCTCAGGGTTCATTCAACTGTCCAGCAGATACCCACAAGCACCCAGGCCCAGCTGACAGACAAGACAGCCATCCAGCAAACACCCACAAGCACCCGGACCCAGCTGCAGGCAAGATAGCCGTCCAGCAAACACCCACCAGCACCCGGGCCCAGCTGCAGACAAGACAGCCATTCAGCAACAAGTTCTTAGGAGGAGACCCGAGCTCAAGTCTCACTGTTTTGACTAGGTTGTTCTCAAAGTCCTAGGCTCAAGTCATTCTCCTAGTTCAGTCTAGCCTTGCTACCAAGTTGTGTGGGCAAGTGTTAGTCTGCTGAGCTCAGGAGGCAGTGTGGCTCCTGCTGCCCCAGAGTTGACATGTTAGTCGGGGAGAAAGACAAACTAGTAGTCAGGTCAGCAGGCACAGTATGTTTTGTTACAAAGAAAATGAAAGCGGGCTGAGACAAAGCATGTCGAGTGAGGAGTTACTGCTTCAGACATGCTGGTCATGGAGGGCCCTGCGCTGAAGAGGAGGACGAGTCTTGGGATAGACATCTCATGAAGTGAAAGATCTCATTATGGAAGGTTCTAGGGAGAGCAGGTGAATTTCCGAACCAGATCTTCAAGCTGGGACAAGTACCTCACAGACAAGAGGCAAGGAGAACAGACAGACAGGCAGACTGGCAGGTGTGTCTGGGCAAGGCCATTGGGATTCTGCCAGAGGGCTGTGGGAGCCCAGAAGGAGAGACCTAACTGCTACAGGGAGATCAGAAGAGGTTTCTGTAGGAGAGGAGCTGAGGACTTTGTCTTCCAGGCCCAGACAGAGTAAACTACATTGAGAAGGAAAGAAAGGGGAAAGGACCCACACCAGCCAAGGAAGCAGCCATGATGCCCAGGTGGTGGATAGGGAAGGTGGGGGTGAAGAGTTATGGAGTTTTGAATGTCAGGGTAAGGACTTCTCATGACAAGTGGAGGTCTTGCAAGTGTTAGAACCAAGGAGGGACAGTAGAGGTGGCCGGTAAGTGGGAGGCCAGAGGAGGAGAAGCCCAGAGCTGTCCCCTGCTCCGCCTTCTTGGAGATCATGCCTCCCCAAGCTCATTCCTTGAGAATCACCTGTTTCCAGCTGGCTCTCACTGATCCGCAGGAGGAGAGGACTATGGGTCGTCCCTTGGGCTCGGTGTAGCAGCCGCCAGTACAACAGCAGTGTCCAGAGCAGCAGCATTCTCCTGTTAGGACCTGTGGCCATGGAAGTGAGAGCTTCTGTTCTCTCTAGGGGACTGCGGCCCTGTGTCCCACTCTGTACCCCCACATCCCTCCTTTTATGTCCTGCTCTGGGCCAGACTCGCCCATGGTGACAGAGTAAGAGGCAGAGCGCTTGGATCTGAACCCAGCGTGACTGGATGCTGAGAACCTCTGCTTTATTTCACCATGAGATAACAGGGCACCCTCTGAGTATGCGGGTGCTGTCTTTTTTGTTCTTACCACTCCCCGAATGGAACCTTCTAGAATTTCTCAGGCCGGTGTCACCAGCTTTCTTGAAGGATTGCTCTTATAGCCAAGCTCTGGAGCAAGGGGTGGGCACATGATGGGAAGTCAAGGCCCCTGGCCAGGGCTTGGCACTCTCAGGGGTTCTTCAGGGGAAGAATCACTCCTCTTGGCTCTGTGTAGCCAGGGGCTTTTGGCCAAAATTGATAAAACCTGTTACTGAGGTGGGGGTTAGGGGATAGGAGAGGTAAGCTCAGAATGTGGCCAGCAGACCCCAAGGAGGAAGTGGGGCAGGCCTGGGCCCTTCCTGTTGGCACATCTTCAGTTCTTGTGAGGGGGGCAGAGGCTACTAATGCCATATGTGACTGGCATGGAGCCCGAGGGGGTGAGGATATGTGTGTGTGTTTGTGTGTGTGTGTGTGTGTGTGTGTGTGTGTGTGTGTGTGTGTGTGTAGCCGTTGAGGAGCAAAGATGAGGCTGACAGTATTTATGGCCACCTTGTCACTGCTATTCCCATGTCTTTCTTATGTATGTTACCTGGGCTTTCATCTCATTTCTACCAAGGTGTGGTCACCAAAATTGCAGACAGGCCCTGGAATGGTTGCTTTCATTATACAGGAGCTAAGCAATGAAGGACAAGCCTTGTTCATTTTCTTCTAAGCCTCATTCAGAATATGATAAACATACCTATGGCTTTGGGGGGGATGGTGAAGGTTACTATGGCCACTCATACAGATGTGAGCATGGGCCTGGTGCACAGGAGGGGCTAACCAGCTGTTCTGACTATTTACATTCTATCCACGAGGGAGCTGAGCTCTTGAGGGGCAAGTGCCCCCATCAAGGTCAGGTAGCATGTCCAGGGAAAGCTGGGATTTGATGTCAGGGCCCAGAAAGGGCACCGAGATTTGGTGGCTCTACCACGGCAGTTCCAAGCCTGAGTTCTCTGCCACCTAGCTGTGCAGAGGCTCTGCCTTGTGGGGGGACCCAGCCTCTTGCTTCTGCATGCATCGAGCAGGGTGAGCGCAGCTCCTTCATTATTGGATGGTGTGGCCACCCCACGGCTACAGGACCATCTCCAGTCTCCTACACAACTGGGGCACAAGCAGGACAGGTGTTAGCTCCATTTTTATTTTCTTTTTGTCTTAAACTTAGTCTTTGAGATTATAATATCATTACATCACTTCTGCCCCGCCGCACCCTTTCCTCCGTGAGCTCCAGCTCTCACCTGGAGATTGTACTCTGACAGCCAGTACTGCCCCTTCCCAGACACTGCTCCTATCTTCCTGTAAAGGCTCTTGTGTGACTGAAGGCTGTGTTTGGGTGTGGGCATAACCCAGGCCTAAAAACAGAGGCCTATTGTCTTGTCCCAGAACCTTGGGCCTTCATGGAAGCTAGGAGACAATGGCCTTCATGCTTGTCTGAGTAGGAAAGGCCTTGGTGATAAGTTCCCTGAGGTCAGGTGGCGAGTGCCTGTGAGGCCACAATGCTACTGGCTGAGTGCCAGGAGGCACTTCATTTAATCTTCACCTCAGCTCTGCAAGGTGAGAACCGTGATTCTCCCCGCTTGAAGGGCAAAGAGGCCCACCCAGGGGAAGCCGCATCCTGTTTGCCTGTCTCCAGAACCACAGGGCTCAGAGAGCACATGACCTGCCATGCCTACAAGATCAACAAAGTGGGTGCTTGAAAGCCATCCAAAAGGGAGGTGACTCCAACCAGGCACACTAGCCTTCTGTGGTCATGGAGTTTCCATATGACAAAGACTTGGCCAGGTGGGCTCAGAGGTGTCTGAACCCCTCCCATAGGTCTCTATCCCAGGCCTGCCAGAGACAGGGGGCTTGCATTCTAGACAAAACCATTCTGACAAGAGGAGCCACTGGCAAGTGTTTATTGATTGCGGAGGGTAGTCTACGTGGATGGCTCCCACACTCCCAGCGGGGACCTGGCCTGTGCTGGGCAGCTCCGGTGCAGGTCTTCACCAGGAGGGAGAAGAGCCAGGGTTCTAGAAGGAGACTGGGGTGAGCTTGAGGGCACCCTGAAATCGAAGAAGAGTCAGTCTGGTTAGTTTATTGCTTTGGTTTGATATTAACTTCCTGCTTTTGGGGGTTGCCCTGCCTTTGTTCTCCATGAAGGAAGCCCTGGTGTTGGGGGACCAGTCATGACCCTGAACACGCACGTACAGAGCATGTAACACAGTTGTAAGCCAAGGGTTTGGGTACGAACAGTAATTTCCTCTAGCACTCTTGGCCAGTGGAAGGCTTTGTGCGCAGTGGCTGGAAGGGTTTGTGCGCAGTGGCTGGAAGGGTTTGTGTGCAGTGGCTGCCTTGTCTGTGGCAGTTGTTCTCAAGCCCATAGGGGACGCCTAGAATTTTATAAATGCAGACTCCTGGCTGTCTCTAGAGGACACCTGAGTTTTAAACAATTGTCTATTTAAAAACAAATAGAAAAAAAAACTAAGTGTAATGAGAAAACTTACTCTGGTCTAGTCCCCAAGACCGTATTCTGATCTCATCACAGCGCCGAGAAAAGTAGACACGAGCGATGGGCACATGGCCTTGTCATCTGTGTTCCATCATCTCCTCTCACGTGCTGGGTTTAATTCACTCTGTTTTTCACTCTCCTCACACTAGTTCAAATGTATGGTGCCACCCAGCTATAGAACACAACCAATGAATTGCTGGCTACAGAGGAACCAATAGAGCCAAATGGGACATTTGGAAATAGGGGGAATATGGATTTAGATTTTGGGATTTCTCCATAATTAAATGGCTCAGGAGCTTGGAGGAAAATTGGGACTTGTAAGAGTCACAGATTTGGCCCAGAGTGCCTCTGTAGAGTGAGGCTGAACTCCTTGTCACAGCAGGGAGGTCAGCAAGTCGTCTGTGGGCTTTCTCATCATTAGCTCCCTTTCCTCTACTAAGGGGCCAGAGTTTTCCTTCTCTTTTGTTCATTGTTGTGGCCAGTGTTTGCACATAGTAGGTGCCTAATAAATGCCCACTGGTATGCTGACCAAGATGGACACTTCATTGAATGGCTTATGAAGAAGTTGAGGCTAAAGCAAGGGGTTATGGGGGCAGGTTTCATTCGCAGATCCTGACTCTGCCACCAGGAGGGTGTGTGGCTTTGGAAAAGATCTTGCGGTCATTGAGTCTCAGTTTCCCCATCTGAAAAAGGAGACCATGGATTCACCTCATGAGCTCAGTGTGAAGATGACGGCACAGCTGGTGTCGACATCGTTGTTCCGGCTGACGTGGGTGTGAGGCGCCCGACTCTGTCCAGCCCCTTCCTAGCAGCAGCCAGCAATGTGACTAGCTTACCAGCCATTTATGAAACACCTAGGGTGTGTCAGGCCTTGCTGACCATACTCCTGGAGGCAGCTGCACGGCCAACCCAGCAGTCACTGTGGTCTCCTCAAGCTGAGGTCTTAACCACACAGGTGTGTGTGTAATCTGAAGTCTACCTCATATCCTAGACCTGTTCCTCATCTTTCCTGGAACAGTAAACATCTCCACCTCAGGGCCTTTAAACTTGCTGGTCCTTTTCGTAGAACACTTTTCCCACCTTCCACAGGGCTCACTGTCTTGCCTTCCAGGTACCAGCAAACATCACCTTTTCAGAGAGGCCTTTCCTGCCCACCCCATCAATACCAGCATCCCACTTTCTCTTCTGAGCCTGCCTTCTTTTATTTCCCAGCCTTTCTTTACTCAATTCTATATATTAGTTTATATAGGTGTCTCTCTTGCTAGAATGTAGGCTGTCTCAGGGGGACAGTGTTTTTTCTGTGTCTATGGCCTGAAGCACTAGGAGCCACCACCTAGCACTTATTACACTGTCAAGAAATATTCCTGAATAAGTGAATGAGGGGTGGGAGGAGCACTGGCTTTTCACTTATAAGTGCCCACAGCCTGACAGAGCCGGGAGTGGTGGCATGTAGGCCACCCCTGCCCAGACTGGTTATTTCCACACGCCTCTCACCTTGTTCACAGACAACATGGATTTCTCATATCCCAAGGCTCTCACCAATGACAGGGGGACTCCAGTTCTCACTTTGCCTGAAATAACAAATGCAGGCAGAGAGTGGTGGGTTAGTTTGGGCCTAGGTAGCCGTGGGCATGCTCGCAGTTCCTGGAAGCACGCCTTGGATCTGGCATGTAGGACCTGCTGTTTCCCTCCTTCTGCATGCGTGCCCTCTACTCTGGCATTTGCCTAACCCTACCTGGGCCTCTGGCACCAGCTTCTGGTTGTCCCACAATGCACCTCACATCTAACCCTCTTGCTCAAGAACAACCATGGCTCCCAACACCTGCTGCAGAAGTTTCTCTCCCTGAGATTTCCCACTCATAGAGCAAAATTAAAAAGGCAATGATGTCACAGGTACCTGTGATCATCCCTCATGCATGGTTATGATGTCACAGGTACCAGCGATCACCCCTCATGCTTGGTGATGCTGTTACAGGGTACCAGATCTCCCCACTCCTCACACATGGTTCTTTGCTGCCCCTGAGAGCCATGCACATTGCCCCATTTTCAGGCACACAGAGGGTCTATGTTGCCATTAAGCAAGTTGTGGCACTCTGCTCACAGAGCCCATTTAAATGCTCTGTAGCTGGACCTCCTGAGTCAGAGCTGTTTGTGCTAGCAAACCAGGAAGCTGCTGCTTTTTTAAAGAAGCTGCACCTCTCTTAAAGCAGCCTGCCCTTGCTTGATGTGAACCCATCTAGGAAAAAAAAAGTTTGTAGCTACCAAGAAACTGCGAAACTTTGTTCTTTTTTGCCTAGAATCCCTTTTCAAGCTCTCTCAGGTTTTAAGTGGATTAGTTGGCCATATTGGGGCATAAACAAGCAGCCTCCTACAACACATGGAGATGCTGTTACAGGTACCAGTCTCCCCACCCCTCACACATGGTGATGATGTCACAGGTACCAGTGATCTCCACCCTTCATGCATGCTAATGATTTTATGGGGACCAGATCTCCCCACCCTTCACACATGATGTTGTCACAGGACCAGCTATCTCCACCCCTCAC